GCCGTTGGCACCAACAATTTAGTATTTTAAGGTCTTACCAACAAACATGAACGTTTATGACGTCATCCTGCTGAAAAATATTCGAAGCAATCACGCGCTCTTCTTTTTGATATTCAGGAAGTCGATCATTTTCAATGACAGCTGATTCTGTCGAGTCGTGGAGGCAGTAGCATCAGGCAATGTCTCCAAAGTTTCTGATTACGTATCAACATCTGGGCTTCAACGCAAGACTCGAGCAAAGTCCATCATGCCACTTGCCCCAGGTTGTTCTTCGCCATTCCTTTGGTCGAGCACCTAGTAGTTGTTTCGAATTTCCTTCTGAATGCATGATCAAAATCACCCATGACTTCTCAATTTGAAGAAGCAGCGGTGCCAAGTGTGTTTCAGACCTGAACTCAGCGATTCGTCTCAGAAAAACCATTTCTGTCGTTTATACATGGGGTCGAAGTTTTGACAGCACGTTTAACAACTCATTGCCACAGGTAAACATGGAGAAAAAAATCGGCCCACACATGAAGCTATTTCCTCAGACTCAGTTTGCGCTAGTTCGTGCAGAATAAGGTGCTGGTTAGTCCAATTCGCCGGGTATCTCTACGCCTCATTTTCAATCCCCGGAAAAAGAGAGCCATGAGGTATATGAATTTGTCCACCAATTCCTTTGCTCCTCCGTTTATTAGCAGAAGGGGAATCAAAAAAGCATAAGGCCGATGATCAAAGACACATTCACATTCAATCCGGTGAACCGTTCCAGAGAACGCTGGTCATATTCAGAAAGGAAGAAGCTGTGGTCTCAAAAAAATGGGCTAGTTCAATTTAATCGTATTATAGGGTGAGAACGCTAAGTTTCTTTCCGGATTGTTTATCGGCTTGAAATGATTACTTCTCCTCTATTGGCTGCATACATATTGAATTATCAGATGAATGCACGGTTTCAGTCAAGATTGTTCTAAAGACAAATGAAACATACGAAGCTGACAGCAAGTGTGTAGAGGAATGTGGATAATATGAATTATTTTCAACATTCGCTATTTAATTCATTCTTTGACTATTTACTGATTCAGCTATTTTTCCATTCATTCGTCCCTTAGTTCATGCATTGCTGTATTTAATCAATTTTTTAATAGCTTGTTTCTGAATTTATTGACTGATCAATTCATCCATTCTTTAATTCGTTATTTCATTTGTTCAATCATTGATTTATTAATTTCGCCCTACCTTAATTCCTGTATTTATTCATTCGTTCGTTCATTCATTCATCCACTCAAACTTTGATTCGAACCTTCCTTGTTTTTTGTTTCTTCCTTTCCCATTTAGTTTCATCATTCAGCCACTGATTCATTCACTCATTTATTAATTGGTTTATTGCTTCATTCCTTCGGTAATAAACGTCATATTTGATTTTTTACAGCATACGTCATACGTGTGGACTACAACACTGTTTCCTTCCAGCGGACAAACCTTCAAGTTGGACTTGCCTCCACGACAAATGATCTAACACCGTACCGTTGCATAATTGTTTCCGAACTGGTGACAGGCCTTCACGTTTTTCATTGTGACTGTAAAGATACACGTTTAAGAGCTTTTGCCTGATCGAAAGGCTTGCACTTTAAATGTTGTTCCTTTCAACAGCTCGATGATCAGTTTTACGTCTTTCAACCTATATTACGAATTTAATAAATGTTGCTTTCAATCCATTACTACCTGATAATTATGATGCTAAAAATTAATTATGCAGTCGAAGCCAGAAGCCGTACCTTGCGATAGACAGGCTTCCGTAACCCCTCATTTAAACCGGTAGCAAATAGAAATAGAAAACACGCAAAAACGGACATGAAATTAATGACCACTTTGTTTAGAGATGATGGCATGCAGATAAGCAAAGATAAAGATCACAATGTGAAACGTTATCTTTATCCACCATCTTTCTCAGTTATTCACAAATAGCCGATGTGGCTTGACGTGATAATCACTGGTCTTGGGGAGGAGTGTAACAGCTGTGAAAGTTGACAGCTGTTAACGAAATTTATGCCTCGTAACCAGCGCGTATTTAAGCTTAAATTTAAGAAAGTTTTGTTTTCCGCTAGTGCCGCAAAACAAGTTTTTCCTACGCGGTCTCCTGCTTTCGGCAGTTTTCAGCCTTTCGACGGAGAGTAAGTAACCGCAAATTCTGGCAAGTACAAAATGACGAAGTTTTTCAACCGCCAAATGAAATTGAACAGAATGAGGCTTGAACTCTGCTAATAATAACAATAATGAGGCAAATAATGTATTACGAAAATTCGACCATACCGGCGTTAGCAGACAGCAGATGCCAGTGCTATTCGTATAGCCATGTTTAGAACCGCTTCAATGAATTTCAAGCCATGTATTTCTCCCACGCGTGTGGACGACTTTCTTCCATCTTGCACGATGTGTTTTGTCAGAGATGCACGTTATCCGACTTTTTCTAGTCACGGGCGGGCCATCAGCGAAAGTTGATATTCCTCCCACATTCTCTGTTCCCGCCTTCAGCTTCCACCGTTGGTCAAGCAACATAGACTTGGACCGTCCCGGCGTGTTACTGCACGACCTAAGGATGGTTCATAGTTCCAGGCTTAACTAAACGTCTCTCAGACGAGTCGTATGGCTGATCGATTTTCTCTTGGAGAAAATGATGCTGAATGTTCACTTCATTGTTGAATTTGCGTGATAGGAACATGAGATCCTAGATGGAGACTCAGATGCATATTTTTCATTTAGTCACTCTCTGAGTGACAACCAGTTTGTCCTCTTCGCCAGATCTGAATGACCAGAAATGTAGTGATATGTTATACTTGATTGCCAACGGCCCCTTAGCGAATCGAGTAATCGCAAATGGCATTTCCATGAAACCGCGGCGGTTGGGAAAAATTCACTTAACGTATTATTTCGATATGGCATTTTATTCTTTCTGAGGCTCATATCGATGCCGTGTCGCAAA